CTTCTGCCATCTGGCCACTCTGACTTGCTATCTTCCTGTAGGAGTGAATCAATGTTGATTTGGACTCTGTTGCTATATAAGTAATAAGCTACTTGGATTCTAAACTCCTTATGAGCCATGCCTACGGAACTGTGTCAAGCCAAATAACCTCCAGCAGCAATGCCCAGAAACTGCCTGACTGAATGGCATACACAGGTCAGGGAGGAATGGCCAATGGGAAAGACAAGCAGGTGATCTGGAGGCAGCCAAGCTGTCAGAAAAGGAAGATACTGTATTATAGGCAGGCACACCCATTCTTCATCTTAAAGATCAGAAATAACTTGCCCTGAGGTAGAACAGATCCCAGGTTGAATTAAAGAAGCTGCTAACTGTAACAGAAAACAATCACTTGTAATTCAAGTTGTCCTCAGCCCCTCTTTCCATTTTCCTATCTAAATCTTTGTATACCATTGCTCCCCAAAAGATGCACATAAGTATGCTAGCCTAGGAGAAGCTATGACTAGTATGACGAACACTTATTTGTAGAATGTTTCAGAGCATTGTTGTGTGCTCTTCCATTGCATTTGCCACTGTAGACACGCATAAACAAGACAGATAATTTATGAAAACATAAAATAGTAGCCTGTGTGATGAGTGTCTTCTGAAGACATCTAGTCTTCAGAGGAAGTTTTTCTCATTATTTGAACAGATTAATATGTTCATTGATCACATGTATTTATCTTTTGGTTTAAGACACTAAAGGAGTTGGCATGGCTCTGTATAATTATATTCTATTATACTGTATACATAATACTTGGCATTAGGAAAGGAATTTGAGTTAAAATGAAAATGTCTTGTAATCAAGTTTTTTGGTACTGTGTTTCTAGACTGAGGGCTACAAAACAGTTCTCTTCAGTGTGTTCTCAGAAGCCTTTTGTCCACACTGTGGAACAAAGGATCAGAGAACTGGGTCTGAATACCAGATCCTTCATATGTTACTCTGCAGAAGGCGTCTAACCTGAGGATGGCCTAAGTGGTTGGGAGTCTTGCATGATAAGATAGACACAGGGCATGAGGAGCCCACAATGGCATGTAGCAATGGTGCTGAACTTACTGCAGTGCGGATATGGCATAAGTTTGGACAGTAAGTAGGGTGGGTGTTCCTTGGTACATAAAATTACATTTTGGTCTTCATTCTTGCTTTCTCATGTATGTATATATATATATATATGTATTTTTTTTTTTGGTTGGTCATGGAGCTTGAACTCTGGGCCTGAGCACTGTCCCTCAGCTCTTCAGCTCAAGGCGAGTGCTCTACCACTTGAGGTTTTCTGGTGGTTTATTGGAGATACGAGTTTCAGGGACTTTCCTACCCAGGCTGGCTTTGAACCATGATCCTCAGATCTCAGCTTCCTGAGTAGCTAGGATTACAGGTGTGAACCACCGGCACCCAGCTTCTATATATTTTTTGAAACTTTTACTTTCCTTTTGGAATCGAGTGAGAATAATGAACGCAGGGTGGCGATGAGCAGAAAAGAGATCATGAATATGATGCTGTAGGCTGGATTACAGTAGCTTCTAACAATGCACTATTGTATGTGGGTTTCTTGTGCCTTTGTAGGAATTGACTGTTTTAAAGTATGCTTCAATTCCCAAAATTTCCATGACTTACGACAGCTTGAATACTTGATATTGTGTTCCAGAAAACAAATACAAGTCTCCCTCTCCTTTTTATTTAAGAGCCATGGTATCATTCTCCTCAGGACACTTGAGACTTAGTTGAAGAGATATGACATTTTAATATTTGAGTTTTTGAAGGCATCTGGCCCTTATTTAACCATCACATTTACATCCAATTCCCGCAGGCACGGGTTTGTTGTTGAAGCTTGGCGTGGTGCCCTCAGTAGAAAGCCTCTGCTTTAATGAACACAATTCCACAGAAACTGCTAGACTGCCCCGCTCCTCTCCACCCCGCCACTGTACAGCAGACATATTGGATTTCAAAGAAGAAGATAAAAATAAGAAAATACATTGCTGGAGAATTAGCTTTATGAGAGTTGCGGGGGTATATTGCTATGGCATATTCAACTTGTTGCCCTGAGATTATTTGCCGAAGTGTTTATGTACTATGAAATGTTCAGCCAGAACATACAGGAAACTATAAAATATTTTATGAGATGTATACATGGTTGATGGTAGAATGTTAAATGCAACCTGGGAAGGTTCTATCTAAATTCCAGGAGGACAGATGAGAGAGGATATTCTCTGTAGTTATTTAGTTTTATAAAGGGGTTACATGAACTGGAAGTATGCCTGATTTGGGGATGAGATGAAAAATATCATCAAATTAAACTCCATAATTTTTAGACTAGTAAACTTGTTTTCTGTCCTACCAGAATCCACCGGTGTGCTTATTTGTCTTCTATGTGGTAAAAGCATTAATGTGGGTTGTTTATTATTTTATAAAAACAAACAGCGGTAATAAATGGGGAATTCTCAGATACAGGAACTATATATATCTTTAAAAATATTTGTGTTTCTGATGGATTTTGAGTAAAAATAGTTGGTTTAAAACTGGAATATGATTTCTGAACCTCAGCCAGTATGATATGTGAAGGTGGAAAGGCTAATTACAAACTCTAAATGGCATGTTTAGAAGTCACACTCCCCAATGGAGATGAAGAGAGAAATAATTCTATTTCCTTTACTTCTAATTTAGAGACAATATCAATTTTTAAGAAGACAGGTTAAAAAATGTTTAAAGTTCAAATTAGATCTCTATAGCATAAGGGCCAAATCCAGAATTTAGCATTGTGTAGTGTGTGACTTAGAGTTGAGCCTGGTATGTGAGAGAAAAGAGATCATTTAAGTAATACCAAAGTCCCTGTGATGATTTCAATGTTAACATTTATGTGTTAGGATATGTCATAATTAGTTATCATTTTTCATAAACTGACATTATTGTCTGGGATAAATATGCTATAAAACTCCAATGTATCCTGGTCTTTTCTAAATCCAGATATGTTAACATAGATTAAAATTTGGGACCACGGAATCTCATCTCTGGCCTGCCACTGCCATTGCTAAGCGATGTGTGGAAACTACCTTCTCCATCCAGGCCAAGTGGTAGCATCTGTAAAAGGAGTAGCTGTTCTCTGTGACCTCTAAGATCATCATCTGCTCTATGATTCCATATGACATTTCACCTTGAGAGAGTTTATTAGTATTTTCTGAAGCTTTCCTTCTATAAATTTTACTTCTATATTCACTGCTTAAGAAAATTTTATTTCACTTCAAATTTAATCTTGTGGAAAGACTAAGAGAAAGAACTTAAGTGTAGAAAAGAAAAAAAATTAAAAATATTAATATTGAGCAATTATGGACACATCTAGACTGATTCAGGACACACATAAATGACCTTGTTTAATTCTAAATTCAGCTCTCTGGCTTTTGATGAAAAGTGAAAGGTTATTATATGAACTTGCCGGGCAAAACCAGATTTTATAAATAATTACCTGTCAGACTGTTCAAGATAGACAAACATACACCAGACCAACAAAAATACAGAGCTGTCATATTTCTGAGAGAAATGTACATTGAGTCTTCCTTCTTTGGGACTATAAGGAGATCAGGTAGAATAAAATGAAGGAAAAAAATTAAACCCTCTATTTTCTGCTCTGCACACTTTAAAATATATAATGTGGGAGAGAGAAGGAATTTCAACATGAAAAATTAGTCCCTGAAATTTTTATACCTCCTCTAAGCCTGGCAGATTGAAACCAAATACAATATATGTTGTTTCAAAAGTTAGAATGTATATTGCAGGCTTATAATTTTCCATTGTTAGGGACTCTAAGCAATAAGTAAGATGATAAAAAGTAAAGTTTGATCACACGTTAAGCATGGGTGGGACATTAAAACACTATGGTAATTTTTGATGATGTAAATTTGTCTTTTTTGTTTCTGACATGCAGTTTTTCTTCCAAAAGGATTACCAGAGAACAGGTAAAATCATACAGAACAAATGTGAGTAACATGACATACTCACAGAAACTGGGACTCACAACAACCTGGTCATAAGAAAAAACCTTAAAAGTTCCTTATTTCTGTTTTCATTAATTATTTACAAAGGCTGTGTTAGTGTGTCTCAAGCCTAAACTACATACATTTCTCACAGAATTAAAGAAATAGCTTTCTTCTTTGCAGTTCATATTTAATAAGGAACTGTACAATTATGTCTGCTGAATTCTGGTTTGTTCCCAAGATTCTCATTTGGTAGAAGACGTATAGATTCTGGTAGGGCAGCTTCGATGTCCCCGCAAACAGCAGCACAGTGCCGCTCCCCCCTCCCCCCCCACCCCCCTTCCAGGCTAGGGTGGAAACAGAGTAGGGAAGAGGTACAGGCTGCTCCGTTCTGACTGCTTCTGCAGGGGTGGATCCAGTGGGCCTGGGAGAAGAGGATTATGGCAAGAGGAAAAAGAAGATGGCGGTTCTGTGTGAGGACAAACACGCCAGAGGAGTAGGACAGGAAGTGGGGGAAGATGGTGAAAATGATGCATATATTGTAAGAAGGGAGCAGTCGGTTCCTCAGGACAGTTGGATCTTAGATGACAGTTAGTTTATGAAATGAATATTTGTCTCTAAAATCCTCATAGATATAGTCAACATGTGTTCAGAGTAAAGTGAGCAGGACAGTGGGAGGAGAAGACAGACGACGCTTTTAATTTTGTCTCCTTTGTCTCAAGCCTGGATTATAAAATGTATCAAGTAAAACACAGACTAAACACTGGGGGATAAAAGACACTGCTTTCAAGATCTGGGAGCCCAGGGCAGCAAACCCATGCCAAACGAAAATTTCAAAACTGTGTGATCTGTGTTTTTGTCCACCTACATGTTACCCCAAACATCCTGTCATTAATTAGCCGAATAGCTCCTCTAGTAAACAAGACTCAGTGCTGAAGGGCTGGACAAAAGCAGGAGTCAGCCCTGCTGACAGTCAAAACAAAGCAGGGGATGGGCCCTGCAGGTGAACTTAAATTTTATTTTGTGCAAGGAGTGGAAGTCACCTCAGTGTCACATTGCCTTTCTTGTTCCCGTAGGCAGTTCCAGGCACGTCAGCAGGCCAAAAACGCCATCCCATTCCTGCGGTAGGCACTCTGTCAAAGAGAAAGGGAGCTGCAGTGAATTATCACGTCCAATTACACCAGGAAAAGAGGCAAAAGCTTTTTTTTCCCCTGTGTTGCAGACTGCTGGCTACAAGCTAATATGGTACTTACTAGGAACATTTCTGGTGGTAAAGCTACAGCAACTGCCCTATTAAAAAGTGACTGTGGAGCCAGGCACCGGTAATGCTAGCCACGCAGGAGGCTGAGATCTGAGGACTGAAGTTCAAAGCCAGCCGCAGCAGGGAAGTCACTGAGACTCTTATCTCTAATTAATCATCAAAAAGCTGAAAGCAGAGCTGTGGCTCAAGTGGTCGAGTGCTAGCCTTGAACACAAAAGTTCAGGGACAGTGCCTAAGTCCTGAGTTCAAGCCTCAGGACCAAGACACACAAAAGAAGTTACTGTGGTTAGTCTACTTTTGGGGCCGTGGGAAATAAGCAGAATAAGACATCTCATTTTGTTATTTGATTGGGTGGTTACACCAAAGAGGTGCTGTGCTGAACCTTCTCCTCTTTTATAAACACGTGTTCTCCATTCAACATGCTCCAGAATCATTGCTAAGTATCTGAACAGCCTATAATTTGCTGACTTGCTACGGTCTTCCCAGTCCTTGACATCTTGAGCAGGAAGCTATGGGAGCCGATTTTGAAAGTCTCTCCTCCCAAGATGATGATCTCAAAGGAGAGTTGGCTTTCACCCCAAGTTAGAGATTTTGTACTTCAGAGTTGGCGGGCCAAGAAAATACAGGGATTCTTGTGACTTATCCTGGATCTTTATTTTGCACAGAAGTGGAACAGAACTAAAATCTAGAATTTAGGAATAAAATTTTCCCTTTATTGGCATATTTTACATGATTTAAACTGCTAACAGCCACATTTAGATACTTCATAATCTTCGATTTGTTTTTCTATAATTTATTTTTAGAAAAATAGAGAAAATGATAAAAATTCCACCCTAAAGACCCATCCTGTCTGGAGTTAATAACCTGCCATTCTGGAGTCTTTACAACCGACAGGAGCCACGGAAGGTCCTAGCCCACATCTTTGTGACTGCAGCTTTTAGTGCAAAAAACTCCAGCATTAGCCAACGTATCCTTGGGACAATGGGAGGGTCCTGTCCAGGTTCTGAAGCTGCAGGACTGCTGTCACATTAGTGTCACAAATGTCTCTTCCCCCCCGCCCCCCAAGCTTGTTATATGTGCCCAGACACATACCGATCCATGTCCTGCAACACGAGGATGACAGATCTCCCCCATAACTCCATAAACTTAGGACCATCACTGCTTATACCAAAAGCTCTGGGACCATTTGTGCTTATCTCATAGTACCTGGAAAAGGTATCATCCACTCCCACAGCTCCACAAAAGTGGCTAACAATGCAATAGTACCAAGGCTCAGTACCAATTACTGAACATGTACAATACGGACACCCAGTTCTGTAGGTAGGATATGAGCCTGCTTATCTAGACAGACTACATTCTGGTATAGATCATAATTTGACCTGAATGGATAAGCATACGCCAAAACGAAAAGCTAGCTAAATTCTAAATTAAAAAAAAAAACCCTAGAAACTATAAATGGTGTTTTTAAAGTTTGAGAAGTTTTATGTGTTCAGGAATTTGCCCCTTTCTTCTCACTTTTCCAATTGTTCAGCATGTAATTGTCACAGTAACTTTTTATGATCCCTCATATTTTTGTGATACCACCTGTAATATCTCTGTTGCCACCTGATTTTTGTTTGGGTCCTTTATTTTTTCTTGGTCAGTCTATTTAAAGGTTTTTCAATTTAATCCTCCTAAAATCCAACTCTTTGATGATCTTTTATATTTTTTTTGTTCTGATTTTATTTATGCTCTGATCTTTGTTATTTTTTTTTCCTGCTAATTTGGGATTTAGTTTGTTATTGTCTTGCTGAATCCTTTAGGTCCATAGTGGAGTTATTTGAGATCTTTCTGTTGTTTTGATACATGCATTAATTTGCTACAAACTTCCCCTTCAGTACTACATTTGTAGAAGATTTAACAACTATAAATATATATATATGTATACACACATACAATATGACCACCCAAATTTTTATAATACTACAGAGACAGAGACTAATACAGAAATAGTTGGAGACTTCAATGCCCACTTTCCTCAATGGACAGATTAGACAAAACATCAATGAAGAAACACTTGAGTTGAACCATATTATAGAACATTATATTGAGCAAAATACAAATTCTTCTCATTAGCACACAGGACATTGTTCAGGGCAGGTCATATCATTAGGTCATATGTTAATCAAGTCTCAATAAACTGAAAAAAATTAAAATCATATTATGTATCTTCTCAGATCACAACAGAATAAAACTAGAAGTTAACAACAAGAATGGAAGTAAAAAATGGCAAAAATGCTTGATAAGAAATGTACTAGTTATCTTGCCAACGTAATTGTAACCCCTCTGTATGGTATTTTCACAATTAAAAAAAAAAAGAAAATGTTTGTAAAGTTCAATGGGTAACTGAAAAGAGAAAAAATTCTAGAAATAAGTGAACATAATAATACAACAGGGGGCTGGGAAGATGGTAGAGCACTTGCCTTGCATGCATGAGGCCCTGGGTTCGATTCCTCAGCACACCATAAGCAAAAAGAAAAAAAAAGCTGGAAGTGGCACTGTGGCTCAAGTGGTAGAGTGCTAGCCTTGAGCTGAAGAGCTGAGGGACAGTGCCCAAACCCAGAGTTTAGGCCCCACAACCGGACCAAAAAAAAAAAATACAACATCCCATATCTGTGCAATACAGCAAAAACAGGTGTTTTTTTTTTTTTTTTGTATCTGTGAATGGACAGGTTTGAGAAACCCTTTAATTCCCAAATTGGCTCACTTCTATTTTTTTTTAATGGGTCAGCATCAATTGGCATTTTTTAAGGAATACAAACTAAAATTAAGAAGCAGAACAGAAGCCAGGTGCTGGTGGCTCAGGCCTGTAATCCTAGCTACTCAGGGGGCTGAGATCTGAGGATCACGGTTCAAAGTCAGCCAGGAAAGTCCGTGAGACTCTTAGCTCCAATTAACACCATAAAACCAGAAGTGGTGCTGTGGCTCACATGATAGAGCACTTGTCTTGAGCTGAAGAGCGCAGGGAGAGTGCCCAGGCCCAGAGTTCAAGCCCCATGACGATGACCACCACCACCACCACCACCAACAACAACAAAAAGCAGCAGAACAGAGATAGGTATGACGGCACATGGCTGTAAATGTAGGCACTATAGAGGCTGAGGCAGGTAGATGACTTAGCCAAGGAGTTTGAGGCCAGTTTGGGCAGCATGCAAGACCCCATCTCAAAACCAAACCAAAATAAAAACAATAACAAAGAGCAAAAGATTAATATTTATTTTAATCAAAAGTTGAAAAATATGCCAGAAAGCTTACCTTGTAGTTTTAAGTCCAACACTATTTACTGAGTTTAATACTTGTGCTAGGAGGCAGATAAAGCATTAACTATAGACAAAAATGACTACGTTCTCTTCTCAATTTCTTCTTTGAATGCCCAGATAGTAACTTTGATAAACTGAAAAAATATCAAGATAATTAAGATGTTTACTGAAAGGTTTTATGGCAAGTGGACTACCATCAGGGCCTATAAGGAGGCGGCGCACTGTGTTTCTGTTGAAGTCTCAGCAAGGCTGTGCGCTCAGTGTGATTTAGGGTTGAGCAAACAATGTGGCCTGTCTGGATCTGTTTGGAGTTGGCCAATTTGGGTCAAATCCAGCAATAAAAGGGTCAATAAAAAGATTTGGAGCATATAGTCACCCTCTCCCTAAATACCATTAACTCCTAATTAAGATGCATTTTGGATGATTTGGGGGCCACAGGAGCCTCCTTGGTTTCCCACAAGTAACCAAGCTCTTAGACTACCCAGGAGCTCTTCCACCCTCCGTAGGGGTAAGGTGGGCAGAAGGAAAGATTGTACAGCCCTATTTGGCTCTGTTGGGAGGGTGGGAGGGAGCAGCAGAGTAAACTGAGAGCAAAATACCTGCACTAGCCTTGACTTAATAAACATCTGACTTACTGAAATACCACATTGAGCTGGGAATGAGAAGGTAGTACCTTTCTGAATTTCATGTACAAATGATGTCTCATAGTCAACTCAATTAATCCTTCATCTGTCCCATCCTACATGAAAGCTTTATAGGAAAACTCAGTAGAGCTTGTTAGCTGGCCTTTTCCTACCTCTCTGGTGGCAGTCTCACTGCCAGAAGAGAGGTAGAAAACCTCTCTGTGATTTAAACCTAGTTAGTTGCTCAAATTCCACAGCCTCCATTCACACACTGGAACTCAGCTCTGCCCTCTGTGGGTTCCTTGACTCCGCCTGTAAGCCCTCTCCTCGCTCCTCTAATTGCCTGAGGAGATGACTGTGCCCATGAGAGACATGCTGCTTTGCTTTAATACTCTTTGAAGCTCTGGAACTTCATATCAAAGCTAGGCAACAGCTTCTTAAAAGATAAAATATGCCCCTTTTCTTTGCTTCCCTGTGTCTGCGTGTGGGCAAGAGATTTAATTATAATGAAGAAAGCAGAATGGTGGTCTAAAGTCTTAAAATCAAAGTGGAAATCATGGCTGAATCTCATTAGCAAACATAAATACAAATAGGCACATCTTGTTTGCAATACAGCCATGTGACTTTTCCCTTTTTGATAATTTCATTCTAACTCTGATATTTCAGAGAACCTAAATTGAACCATATGATGTATAACACTGAAACACGCAAAACTCTTAATTAAACATGTTCCTTTTTGTGTATTTCCCTCATGTTATAAATACCCTGTAGAAACCTTGGAGGGCAGCTGGCCTGACAGTAGAGACTTGATTTAGGGAGAGCAAGGGTGTCTTTCTTTTTAAAGAAGAGGTCTACCCTGATTAGGAAAATGGGGGGGGAAAAGACACTGCTAACTTTCACTCCATGCCGAGTAATGTGGCATTTGATGACTGGTTTTGGCAGTCTAGGCT